CACACACACACACACACACACACACACACACACACACAGTTTAACCCTCACACTCCCTTAAGTTTACAAGAGCTTTATTCACAGACGTCTGGAAGAATGAATGGAAGAGCTTTTTGTAAATAGTTCCTGTACATAGATTTGTTTCCTCGTGTAGGAGGAGAGACTGATGGGTAAATGGGGGGAGGGAGGGTGGTGGGGTGAGGGGATTCAATTTAAAATTTAGACCGGTAGACTCTACTTTTCTGAATCTGACTCTATTTTTCATTTTCTAAAGCCTTTCTCCCAGTCGTGTTGTTGTTTTGGAGACAGAGCTGAACAAGCCCACTGCAGGAAAACTTCTTTGTACCCACTTGCAGCCTGATGTCTTTGGTTACCATGTACATAATTTTAAAGTAATAAAAATTGCTACTTTCAGTACTTCCTGCTCGTTCTACTTGCTCTGTTGTTGGTGAAGATCATTTCTCAAAGAATCTTCTGCTCGAAGGTTTAAAGAAAATTATTTAGTTTGGGTGGAAAATACGTTTTTCATTTTTTTTTTCAGATAATTGAAAAACTTCAATTAGTTTTGTTTCTCACAGTCACGACTCAAGTGCGACCTGTTTGGTTATTGGGGGAAAAAACATGTTGCACAATAATATTTGTTTTCTGCAAAAATATATTTCAAGTTTTAGACACAAGGCTTCAAAACATGTCAAATAAAACATTACAGACAGAGCTTTGTCCAGAAGTCATTACAAACAGCGCGTTAGAAACGTGTTTAAACATTCATCGAGTCTTTAAATGTCTCTTGGTCCCTCGTGTCCCCATCAGAGCTGCTCTGTGCGCACCGGGCCTCCGCTGCTCTTCCCGTTGTGAAAGTCCCTCACGGGCCCCGATGGGTCCCTCGCCAGCACCGTTGTCCCGTGAGAAGGTAGCGTGGCCCCCGGGGGCCGCGGGGTGCGGCTGGGTGCTGGTTCCTCGCAGGCGCCCTCCTGCAGGAGCTCGTTGAGGGTGGCGATGTAAATCTGCGCCATTTGGAGAGTCTCAGATTTGGAGAGCTTCTTCTCGCTCTCCAGGTTGGGGATGACGCTCCGGAGACGGTCGAAGGCGACATTTAACCCCAGCATCCTCCTCCTCTCCCGGGCATTAGCAGCGAGTCGTCGCCTTCTCTGCGCCCGCTCCAGTGCGCACTTGTCCGGCTGGAGGTAGTGCAGCGCGCCGCCGGCGGGTCCGAGCCGCAGCTCCACGATGGCGCACGGAGACTCTCTGCGGTCGCAGGCGCCTCTGGTGCGCTCTGCGCCCGCTCGCTCCTGCGCTCGGCTCCGCTGCAGCAGAGCGTGGATGTCGGCGTGGAGAGCCGCCGGGGCTGCGGGGCCGGACCCTGCCTCCGGATCCACCGCGATGAACGGAGCAAACAGGCTTTTACGCGGCGACATCGCTTTCACTCAGTCAACTTTCCCCAGAGACCAAAGTCGATCAGTTCAGTGGGAAACTCCACAAAGTTACACGCGTCAACTTTCTCACTTCGGGTGGATTTATGGACAGGGTGGCCGCGGGGACGCGCAGTGCGTGTCCCGGGGGCGTGGAGAGGGTCGTGTGCTGCCTAATGAACAGAGCCAGTGCGCAGCAGGACGTCCATTAACCAAGTTCATCAAAAGAGGATTAGAAGCGTCTCAGTGCGTCACTGTGGACTGATACAGGGAGGAGGGAGGGAGCAAGGAAGGAAGGATGAGAGGAAGCATGAGAGAGGGGGTTAAAGAAGAGAACGTTTTACCAGAGGACTGTGAATCAACATGTTATAACTTCTCCTTTAAATCAACTCTCTGACAACTGTAACATCTGTAACATCTGTGTCCTGATAGAACTTCAGAATCATCCTTCACATCTAACGAGGTTGAATCAGTGTTGGTCTCATGTTCCATCACTTTCTGTTTCCTGACCCAGTCGATGAACTCTGAACCTTCAAACACGAGATCTCTGTTTTCATCAAGTGTCTGGACTTCACCAGACTGACTGTGACGTCCTCTGTCCCCTTGTGGACGTCTTGGAGATGGATGGTGATATGAGACCTTCATGCTGTCCTCTCAACTCTTTTCATTGAGTACCGCTCCATGAAGGAGGACGGTGTCTGCAGCCCGGGCGTCTTTATTTCTCTGTGTGCAGGTCTCAGTGTTTGTGTCTCATTACGTCTCATCAGTGCTTCTTGTTTTTAAGGTTAATTCAAAGCGTTGCGACTCCCTGAGGTTAAACCCCGATGATGACTGACAGTAACTGGCAGCCTCGTATCATCTGGACTGACTCTAATGGGATTTAGCAGCGTGTCCCGGGCGCCGTGTGCCAGCACTCTGCCGGGCCGGGCCTTTACAAATGCCACAGCGTGGCAGCGAGCCGGCACAAAGATGGCTGCGTGACACAGGAACATAATAGACTCCTTATGGCCAGGAGGACCCTCGCTGTCTGAGGCTGCGGGTCTGTTTCTTTTCATTCTCCAATCTGGAGCACGTGGGGAGGTTTGGCTTCGCGGCTCAGACGACAGTTGTTGGCACGCTCCGCTTTATTAAACCCAATGAAATGGCTCATTGCAGCCAGCGGACGGACACAGGCCGCAGATCAAACCCTCACGCCGCCGTGACAGGCGACACCCACAGAACTGTTGAGTCCTCCGACCTTCTGTGAGGTTTTCAACTAACTCCTTCAAGCTGAAGATATTTTAACACATTTTCTACAGACTGAATGTAACTGACAGAACCACTGACCACGCTGAATCCTACAGAGATCGAACCCACTCTTGGTTTGAACCTTTAGTTTCCTGTTCAGTGGGACACGAGGACAGTGTGTGATGGACTCAGAGAACAAACTTCATGCTGATGAAGGAAATCAACACAGAAAACCGACTCCTTCGTTGCTACGATCAGTGATTATCTAGAAACAAATACAGATTTGTGTTTGGAAAATAAAAGTGAGGTAGTAAGTAATTAGAGGAGGTTGGGCTTCATTTGTTTACGTGCTCCGCTGTATTAAACCCAATGAAACGGCTGGTTGCAGCTCTGCGGTGCACGGACACGGGCTGAAGATCAAACCTTCACTTTCTCACTTCTCTCAAATTCCTCGTGATCAATTTCCGAATCAAACAGCTCTTTGTAGATCGATGTCCCTCCTTCCACTCGACCTGTGGACTCGTCAGAACGATTAACGAACCCTGTCACTCACCAGCGAAGTGACCAAACTTTCCTTCTAAAGAAACTTACAAACTAAAAGCTTCTGTCGGAGCCTCCCATCAGATCACACAGCCCCAGTGTTTCTTACAGCTGCAGTAGGTTCTCGTTTCCTAATGTTTCTAATTCATTTCAGTTTCTTGCATCACTGACCAACAACATGCTCAATCTTTAAAATGACCTTTTTCTGTTGAAGTGAATCTGCTTTAAAAAGAAACAGGAACTTTTCCATGTGAGCGTCCGGACCTGGATTCTGCTGCGGCTCAGAACTAGAGTTTAATTTGATGAACAGAAAATAATAAGTTATGTTATTTTAACTGTGGACGTGAAGGTTTCCTCTGCAGAATAAATGAACAAAGAAGAAGAGCGTCTGACCATCAACTGTTCCACAGGTCGGAGGAGAAGCTCGGCTCCTTTCATCGTCTTTGAAGAAGTTGATGGATGAATAAGTGACTTCATCCATCAAGAGCACAGCCAATCACAGAGCTCGCTCTTTCTCTCTGATTGGACACGCAGAATCAAAGTACAGGCGACAGTCGACCACACGGTCGAGTGACGGCCGTCTGTCAAGACACTCTTTGATGTTATGATGCAGCAGGGACAACACACACGCACACACACACACACGCACACACACACTCTGATAACGTGCACAGATCAGTGGCCGTACAATCAGAAACATGGAAGAACAGACAAACACAAATACACAATCAAAGCCTCCGACACACTCATTTGTCTCATTTCACACCAGTGATCCTTCCTTCCTCCCTCATTGTGTCTCCCTGCGGTGACACACACACACACACACACACTTGTTTCCCTAAACACCCTCTCTCCCTCCCTGCAGGTCCAATTCCTGATCATTGATCAGGTCTGTCCTCTCTGTCCGTCTCATCGGACACACATTTGTTTTTCTGCACATGTGATGAAACAGTTTCTTTTCTTTAATGAATGAAATCCGTCTGTGATTTCTTCTCTCTCTCTGTCCTGTTCCTCCTGTTTCCTTCGAGCTGCAGCTCCAGGATGTAATTTATTACTCCGAGCTCCGCTGACTCGGACTCTTCTCACCAGAGGATTAGAACAGCACCTGGAGACGCCTCCATCATGGCCGCCGGGAAATCAGTGTTGTCTCCGATCTTCACTGAAGCTGCAGAGAATTTGTGTTTAGGTTTTACAGAACAAACACTCAGTGGAGTCTTCCTCCCTTCCTTCCTTCCTTCCTCCCTCCCTTCCTTCCTTCCTTCCTTCCTAACCAAGGGATTCAAATCATATTTATTGCTGTGACCAGATGTCACTTCCTTCCAGACAGGTAACACCGTGACGTGAACAAGGGGGGGTCAGAAACCAGCGTGTCACTCGTGAGGCCACAGAATGTCTCTGACGTTATTTTATTCATCACTAACAACGAACAACATAAGAAATAAGAACACGGATCATAAGAACCGCTCCCACGAAGGCTTTACATCTGCCCTGCAGTTGTACTGTGGTGCATGATGGGTAACTTGTGACGAGCTAGTCAGGTGCGTTTTGTTTTATGAATGTATGATATCGTGTTGCATCACATCTGTGTCTGATGCCTGATCTCCTTCACCTCCTCCTCTGCGCTCCTCCTCTCCTCTCCTCCTCCCTCTCGCTGCTCTCAACCCTGCGTCTCTCCTGGTTTTCTCAGCTGTCTGAGTCTTTGACACATGATGCGTTCAGGCATGTTTTTCTCACCGTGATAACTTGACCCTGCGACCTCTACCTGTTTCTGCCCGACTGACACTGCTCCTGCAGCCCCCCCGCCAACCCACGATTAATTATAGATGCACGAGGTGGGAGAGAGAGAGAGGAGATGTCAGAGACATCGGCTCAGATTATTAATGCTGCCTGGGAGGAGAGAGGGAGACGAGCCAGAGGACGAGGAGATGAATTATAAACTTACTACTCTCACATTTCTATTTATGTGTTTATTCTGTTTCTAAAAAGACCCGAGGAGGAGGAGGAGGAGGAGGAGGAGGTTTGTTTCTCCAACACTCAACCACCTCATACAAGTTCACCTGTCGGACTGTTACATTCAAATCTTAAACTTTATTATAAATGTAAATTTAGATATGTTTAGTATTTGTACATTTTAAACTGTGAATCTGCGTTTGTAATAATGGGACTGGAGTTTGGAAAAGATCCTCACGTGAACAAACTAAACTAAACAACCACAGTCGACCAAAGTCCTGGAACAAACTTAAAATACCAAAATAAAAGAATAAGAATATTTACATAAAAAACAGAATAAATGGAGAATACATGATTATTTCACAGTAACAGATGAAATCAACGTCCGACTGGATTCAACTGAAAGTCTGAGAACGAGAGGATCAGAGATTTAAATGTATAAAGTAAATGTTGGTGTTTGTGGATCATCTCTTGTGTTTGTGATGAAGTTCAGGTTGAGTTATTCAGTCTGGTCCTCAGGAGTCTGCAGAGCAGCAACACGCTGGGGCCGGACACTTCAGGGATCCGATGGAGGGAGCTGTTGTTCTGGAGAAAGTGTCTGATGAGACGGACGGGGGAGGGGGGGGAGAGAGCCGGGGGAGTCATGGGGATTTAGTGTGAGACCCACAAACATGTTTTCAAGGATTTAGAAAAGAAAAACAGACGTAGAGGAGAAGCTGAGGATTGTGACTCTGCAGGTTTGTTGTAATCAAAATTCTTCAACATCTGAGTTCAGACACTTTCTACGTTTGTTCCTCTCACAGAATTTATTCTGTCATATTCAAATCACAACATCTCAGCCACAAGGCTTTTACACTATTTTGCTCAAACACCATTTTTTCTGTAAAGTAAATATCACTGCTGAGAATTTTCATGAGAATCAAACCGTCTGCAGAAAAAATCCCTGGTTTTATTTCCATTTGCTTCTTTGGTCAAATCAACATCAACGGTGTTTTTGTTTGACAGTTTGACGTGCTGGACAAAAGTCTTCATGTTTTCAAACGCAGACGTCAACAGAACGATCAGGAAATAAATCATGTGTTGACTGAAGACAGGACGTTGTGCACATACAGTTGTGCACATACAGTTGTGCACATACAGTTGTGTACATACAGTTGTGTACATACAGTTGTGTACATACAGTTGTGTACATGCACACACATGCACACGCTGGAGGTGTTTTGACGTTTCTGTGTCTTTGCTCTTTTTAAACCATTTTCCCTTCACTTGTTTTTCTTCTTCTTCTCTTTTCGGAATGGCAGATTTCTTCGGTAACACCTTCTCTTCATGTTCCTCTGTGTACTGTTTC